TTAAAGTTAGAATATTTAATGGGAAAAATGTTGGTTTGTGCTAAAACAATAGCAATAATCAACATTAAGCTATTGATCGTATCAATTGATACCTTTGAGCATGGTATAAGGCCTATTTTTCGGTTAAATTTGCTTTACAGTTTTGCATTTTTCACTGAATGTGTGGTGATAAAAAATATAATTTCTAAAACCAAAGTTTTCGGTAAACCATTACCATACGAACAGAAAAAACTATCAAATAAATAGTTTAAATCCCATCTATTTTGGTTTTAATACCAGAATTATGTTTTTTCTTTTGACCAGAAATATCATTACTATGCAGTACGTTTATACCAGAATATTTTTCTGCGTATAATGATTGCCCTTATATTTTCAGAATCCTTTTTAATAATAAAGTATACTCATTAGGGGCTGCAAATTAATGCTTGATCCAGGAAAATAAGAAAAAGAATAGAAGTATCGAAATCTACCAAATCACTAAGTAGGAAGACGTAACTGAAAATTTTTAAAACTTGTTTGATTTGCCGGAGAAACTGAGAGGAGTTGAAGGGTGGTTATTAGAAACATCTCCATGTTTTGTTAGTCAATGACACGGGTTTTGATGTTCATCAGACTTTGAAATTAGTCACCATTCATAGATAAACTATTTGTACGAATTTTATTGCAAGAAAAATAATTTGCAGGGTGTTCCGCAATGACCACCATTAATATATAATCTTAAAATCCTTCTAAAAACTTGAGTAAAAAAATTACATATATGAAAAAACTATAGCATTTCAGAGAGAAAAAAATGAAAATGCTTTTGAAATGTGTTGGATCACTAGCGAGAAAGGTGGGACGAATGCATCATTCGAATGCATCAAATCGAACTAGTTATACAGCATATTCCATTATTTTTTTCTTCTCAGCTCAAATATTATTTACTAATTAGAATAGAACTTTTTTGCTAAACATTTCAAAAATATATACTAAGAGCAGCTATTTATAAAACACACCCTAAGTGTCAACAATTACCGTTTTACCTATGTCATATGTTCTTTTTCAGATGATTTGTTTTCTTGAAGGTTAAAAGAGAGAAAAAAGAAGGAAAAAAAACAGAAAATCTATTCAAAATTTATTTATAGATAAGCTTGAAAACAAACATAGTCATTCATTTCCTTAAAGTATTATAATTCATACAATTAAAAATAGTTCATACAAATTACAAAAGTAATATAATTCATAATAATAAAAACACTTATATATAAGATTTAACTAAATTTTAGTTCAGAAACAAAATCAAAAACGTATACGGTAAGTTACAATTTGATAAAACATCTAGATTTTTGACATATTAGAAAAATTGGAGCCATGAATGCTAAGGTTGACAGTATTAGGGACAGTAAATAACATAAAGAAAACAATAACAGATAATATGCACAAAAATGATTATAATTTTTTTAACATGCAGTGTGATTATAAAGTAACTTTGTCAACGAATGACCCAATGAAGATCATACCATTTAAGTAAACGGAATAAAATTTTGTGCATGAGTATTATGATCTATGTGCTCGATATTGATGTTTGAAACGATTGCGAAACGACGATTGCAGTTACAGTGACAAAATTTTGAAATTGCCAAACGACAACACCCACTTTTTCTTAATCGAAATGTAATCCATATAGTAAGAAACCTAACGATATTTTTAACAAAAGTAACTGCAACTATAGGCTTTTGCCAGGCGCTACCATTTTCGCATATTTTGGGTTAATTACCAGAAATGTCTTTACAAAACAAGAGTGGTAATTTTACCAAAATTCATTTCTGTGTGTAGAGAGGCTATTTTTTTATATCTCTGTGTGCGTGCAATGTATTCTAATTTAAATTTTAACAAAATAGCTATTTAAGTTTGTTCATTATCAATGATTTGTATACTTAAATTTTGATAAAAATTTATCAAATATTTTAATATGGGGTAAAGTTTCAATATAGTATAACGACTTACCAAAATGAGCGATAAAACGTTATAAAAGATTTTTTATGCACTGCTTGAAATGTGATGTGAATTGAAACTTTTCTGAGACTTTATATATTCACTGAAATATTTATAATTCGTCATTTTAAATGCTAATAAAAATATTATTATTACACTGAATAGTCATTATTATTTTACTAGCATAATTTTTATCATATTGCCTTTATTAGCGTCTGTAAGACTTAGGAATGTGCTTTTTCTTGTTTATTCATCTGATTGACTCATAAGAAATATCAATCATTTTGATTTATTAACGTTTGTAAAGAAACTTTATGAAGCAGATAAATTTTTTTACGACAAAAAAGAATGATTTTCCCAAAATCGAGTTTTATTTTTCGTGTAAAGACTATTTACGATTTCATTTATTTCAATTAAAAGTTACTAATAGAGAAATTAATAATTGATATTGAAAATTTCTTTAAAATTTTAAGATTTTAAAACTAAATGAAGGGTTAGTCAGACCGCTTTTGTCTAGAAAAATAACATAATTCAATGCAAGTAAATGCGAAATATCTACAAACATTTATATTTTTTCCAGGAACATACGTTTCCTTCATATTTTATAAGTCTTCTTGTATTTTCAGATATCATTGAATACTATTGATATATCAATTAACCCTTTATAGAACGACTCTTTTTAAAGCAATGCTTGGTTAAAATAATTTTTGGTTTGATATTTATTTGTAAAAAGTGATTAGTTTAATTTTTTACTTAAAATTAATTTCATTTTTTGGTGGGAAGGTGGTTGAAGAATTTTTAAAATTTTACCAACTGCGAAAGAACTGGTCGCAAACTTGAATTTCTGGGATTTTTTATACATTCTTTCCTTATAAATACAAATTAACGCGAAGAGAACTGATCAAATGTACTATGTATCCTTGTATTTTTTAAAATTTTACTTACTGTAAAGAACTGGCTATAAACTTGAACTTCTGCTCTTATTTATAAATTCTGCTTTTATAAATACATCTAAATTCGATGAGAAACGATCGAAAGTACTGTGTATAAATTTTTTTTTGTCGTATGCCTGTTTAGGCAGTGGGGATGCGATTGTTCCTTTTTTTCAGTGGTGCCATCTATGACCAGGAATTCGACTTCTGCCACGTCGTTCACACAACCACAATCCGTTTATAGGGCGGATCACATTCACACACAAAGGAGAAGGACATAGAACACACATAGAGAGAAAGAAACATTCATGCCTTGCCCGGGATTCGAACCCAGGACCTTTCTAATGCAAGGACAGTTTCCTGCCCCCTGTACAGGCCGGTCGGCACTGTGTATCAATGCATTTTTCTACAAGTTTTACTTACTGTTAAGAACTAGACATAAACTTGAACTTCTATGCTCATTTATAATTTCAGTGCTTATAAATACAAATAAATTCGATGAGAAATAATCTAAGGTGCAAACGTACAAAAGAGAACAGCTTCTTGTCTCCGTCTCTCCTCTCTTCTTGGTCCCACGTAACTTCATAAAAGCAAAATATTTATCTAAACAAAACATTTATACTCACATTCATATAAGCAAAAGACCTATTCATTGATATTTGAAGTCATTAATAGATAGCTGCATAAGTCATGAGTGGGAAAATAGCGTCTCATTAACATTAAAAAATTCGTGAATTCGGAGCGAAATCTATTTCTCACCCCCTTTCGAAGTTTCGAAGTTCGCCCTTAATGTCTATTTTTAGACCTCCTTCATGCCTATTTTCAGATTATTTACTTTCGGAAATCAGCTGGTCCATCTTTTTAAATAAGTAGGATTTCAAGTATTCTGAGATTTAAAATCGTACTATCTAAAAGAAAGACAATATGTAAGTACAATAAACTCTTATCGTTTAAGTGAGAGTGGATTTAATTTTTGTCTCTTACGTGCTCGTATAGTATCGGGAGAATGGTGAATTCGTTATTAAAATGTTTAGTACAATATATGCTAACACTAAAAAATGAAAGAAAAAAAATAAGCTGGTTATCTAATGTATCTAATAACTTTTGATGGATAATGAATAAAATTAGCAACTTAGTAAAAATCAAACTGGGTACTTATTTGCTATTATTAACTATGCAGGCCAATGAACTTTATTTTCGATTTTTGGCACAAACGAAACGAACTGAAACAGTTGTAAATTTCTTTAAGTTAAAACACAGTAAACAATACATTTTAAAGAAAGAAAATAAACTTGGCTGTTTTTCCATGTAAGAAAATGTTTTAATCTAAAACAATAATTTTCAATAATGAAATTTCGTATTTCGAAACTATGTTCGAGCCACATAGCGCCAGAAAGAGGTGGTCGTTTATATACCACCACTTAAAAATGTGCAAACTGCTTAAAACATGATATATATATATAAAAGATTACAAAATAGCAAGATTTGTCTCTTTGTCAGAATCTCTTGCGATTTATTTAGTTTCGTTCAAATTATTTATTTCAACAAGTATAAATTTATCACATTTTTATGAAGAAGGAAGAGTTTTAGAATACATTTTAAGCTACAATTTGAAAGCAAAAATTCGAGTCGATATAAATTCTCTTTAAAAACCATAGAGTTTTTAACTTTTTGTACAGTTTGGTTGTCCTTGGAGGACAGATTCAGCAGTTTTGTGACCTTTTTTGTCGACGCACCAACAGAATCCAGTTGCTTCATTGCATTGAACTTGTTTGTAATGACCTTTTTCATCACAATCTGGAATGAAGTTGCCAATTAATCCTGAAATGATCAAATTGCATTAATTAGTAAACTAAAATTGAGGGCAGAAACAGTATTTTGTAGCATCTAATTTGAAAATGAATATGTAAGTTCTTAAAGTTTTAAGTTTTCATGATTCTTTTAAATTTGATTTCTCTAAATCACTTCATGTGTAAGCAATAGGATAGCTCGATCTACTTTTGTGATTTTAATTTTTATGTTAAAAAAATAAATAAATTTTGTTTCAAAGAGCTAAAGAGCTAACTGTTTTATTTTTTTATTTTTATAAAACCACTCTAAAAAACTGTTTTCGAACTTTTGAAACATCGCTCAGACCGTCGCTTCAATTAATTGACAAAAATCAAATTTACTTAAGTCGAATAGTTGGAACAATAAAAAAGGAAGATATAAATATGTTTAAAATGTCTTTATTTTTCTACGCTCTGTTTGTTTGTCTTAATATAAATTAATTATTATAAATTATTAAATTTTGAGAAAGGAGGAAGAACAGTATTGTTGGAACTATTTCATTTGTTTAAATACAATAAGAAAGACTGTTTACTTTTACTATTTGATTTGTAACTAAAAAAAAATAACTAAGAAAGTTTATAGTAAAGGAAAATCATTGTCTTTTATTTCACCAAATAGGTTGATCCAAAAATGTGTGGTCAAAAATTTAAAGGGGTTACAGGGGACGAATATAGAAGGACTCAGAATAAATGATTTCAGGTGGTCAGAGTTGATGGCGAAGTTTGAATGTGACACAGAAAACAAGAAGCCATGGTACCAACTTGGCAACAATATAATGTATGTATTATTATGGTGGTGGTTCCATATTGGTTGGGCTATTTTTTCATGGTATGGACTGAACCGTATGGTCCAATAGCACTGATCATTGGACTGAAAATGATTCTATTCAGGTACTTGGAGACCACTTGTAGCCATTCGTGGACTTGATGTACTTGAACAACGATAGGATTTTAATGGATGACGATGCGCCACGACACAGGACATTATTTTTTCACGACAGGTTTGAAGACCATTCAGAACATATCCAGCGAATGATTTAACAACATTGATCTAACAACGCGAATCTCATCGAACTTTTATGGGATATAATCGAAAGGTCAGTTCTAGGACTTTCGAGATCTTGGAGATCTAGTTAGACCGAATGGTTAAATATTCTTACAAGAGACTTCTAACTACTTGTTGAGTCCATACTACGTCGCGTTGCAGCACTTCGTAAAGCAAAAGGAGGTCCACCATGATATAATGAAATATCCCATGACTTTTGTCACCTTAGTGTAGTTCTCGTGATTGTGGAAGGATTGTGTTCAATCTTACGTCAGAGATGAATATTCTTGCAAGAGACTTCTAACTACTTGTTGAGTCCATACCACGTCGAGTTACAGCACTTCGTAGAGCATAATAAGGTCCGCCATGATATTAAGAAATATCCTATGACTTTTGTCGCATCAGTATAGTTCTCATGCTATTGGAAGGATTGTGTTCAACCTTACGCAAGACATTTTCTTCTGGCACCGTTCTCACCGAGTTAGGATCTCATATCTGTTGTTAATGATTGCTGATTCTATCTGTGAGGCGCAATCACTTGAAATTTTGACAATTTCGTATTTCATTGTTGGGAAATCGTTCCATGTACAACCTTTGCGTTGCTCTCCCATTTCCATTCGCAGCTCCATACATCAGCATATAAGCTCTTTAGCGTTAAATGCTGTATAAAATTACTAGAACAGCTTCCGGCTTACTTTGACAGCCCTACACAGCGCCCTTTCACACAGCGTTACCGGACACGCATTGTATGACGCATTCTTTTATCTTCGTCTCCTCTTAGACAGAATTTTTTTCTGATTAATCTGTATATTTGTAAACTACTGAAACTAATCTTAGAATTTGAAAACAAATATACTAAAGCCCACATGTATCTTTGGCATGAGGGTTTTCAAGTACTTTATTTTATAATTGTAAAATAAAATATTTTTTAAAACTGTTAAAATGGTAAATATATGCTTAACATGGTAAATAAAATAAACTATGTACGTACCCTTTTCCCTCTTTTTCATTTCTTTTTTTCTTTTTTTGTGGCATTTTTTGTGGCTAAATACAACAGCAATGAAGCATAAGAACAAAAACAAAATAGTGATGAACTTCATGTTTATTTTCCTCTGAAAAAAATAAGAATAATTTTATTGATGAGAAATTACGATTATGGGAACCATATTTTGATAGAAGAAGAAACCTTCAAAGCACGACATTCAGGGGCAGGACAAAATAATGGAAGCATATCTATACTCACTAATTTTTTTCATTTCTCACAAGAAATACTTATAGGGTTATTTTAAAAACATTAGAAGTGTCATTACTCATACATATCAATAAAGTTTTAAAATTTTAAAGGTTTGAACGACCGGCAATAAATTATGAACGAAAAAGAATGTTTTATGAACACCCTATACCAATCAGTATAGTAATAAGCTTCTAATTATAGTCAATTACGTGGGTTATTATATACACCAACTCCACCAAAGTTTCGTAAGCGTGGTTTAAATATTCATGAAGATATAGAATTTTTTTTTACTTAAAACCAATTTTTCTGACATGCGCTTTCTTACTATAGCTGTTAATTTATTGCCAATCTCTTAAGACTCTCAACTTTAACTTTATTGATATATTAGAGAAATAGCGTGATCTGAACACTTCTAAAGTTTTCTTTGTATTTCTTTAGAAAGATCGGAATCAAGCGTATTAATACAATTCGAAATGGCGGTATTGTTATACAACTGATTAGTGAAAACGATATCGAAAAACTGAAGACAGAAATAGAAGAAAGTAAAATAGTTAACTACATCTGCAGCAAACCAAAAACCATTAGTCCCAGGGTCATCCTGTCCGACGTTCCAGAGGATATATTACCTGTGAGAACCTGATGGAGAAAATGAGGGAGCAGAATAAGAATCTTCAGGATTCAGACATGACTATAAAATTCCCATCAAGAGCGACATCGCGAACTAATGGACTCTTGAGGCGGAACCCGTAACTTTCCATAAGCTCATGCTTCTTGGTAAACTTGACATAGGGTGGAGTCGTTTACGACTGAAGGAATTCAGAGTAACGCAATGCTTTAAGAGTTACCGTTTTGGTCATATATCGAAATTTTGTAAGAAGGAGGAGGTTTGTGTCAATTGCTGCCAAAAAGGTCATAAGATTGACGACTGTAAGTCAAAAAGAAGGTGCATTAATTGCAAAAACAACAACAAAAAATAATCTCTAAGTATTAACCATAGTATTCCTTATAAATTCTGCGAGTCTTATCAATGAGAACGAATTAATTATGTATAAGAAGCAAGAACAAATTTTTATCTCTTATGCTAATTTAAATCACACGATATATGTTAATTCATTGCATGCAGCAGACCTTACTAGATATAATCCTTGGATCGATTAATGAACCGTATTACAATACAGACAATTATATCACGGGATTCAAAACAGATATTCAAATAATCGCAAGTAAAGACAGACCGAGAAGCGCAGTAATTTTTAAAAAAGGGCCATTGAAACCATTAAAAGACTCACACTCCAGTCTTCAAGCCCTTAGCAACACAAACACGAAGGATTACCTAGTCAAAATGATAAAAAAATACTTACAACAATATTACTAAATTCCACTAGATTAAAGTTCACAAAGGATCTGAGGGCAATGAGGAAGCTGACAGACAGGCCAAATTTGCATGTCAAAAATCAACAATAGATCTATGTGACCCACCATCTAAACCGTCAACAAGAACAGAACTTATGAAGAATAACCTTTCAACATGGCAGCGAAGATGGGATAGTGATGATACAAAAGACCGACACACCTACAAATTTATCCCAAGAGTCAGCAATCGAAAAATCTACTCCAACTTCTATATCAATCAATTTCTAACTAACTATGGAGCTCAGAATAGTTATCAGTCAAAAATGTTCGGAAAAGACCCGAACTGTGAAGTTTGCAAGAGTTATGAAGATATTGAGCACATAATTCCTATCGGCCCAGTTTATGATTATTTAAGAATTATGTTTGCACCGAAAAACTCCAACTTTGATACCATTAAAAGAAACTGGAACCAAAAGAAAATAAACAATGGAATTGAAGAGATATTTGAAAGACTTTTTGGGAAAGAGAATTGAGGATTTGGCCTAAACTGATCCTTCAATAGTATTCCCTGGATTTCCCCAATGGGGGGCGGGACAGGATTAAAGCCGAGCTATTTCTTTAGAAGTATGAAAAATGAGTTAATATAAAATGTTTCCATTATTTTTTCCAACCCCTGTAGTTCATTAGTTTTTAGTTGGTCCTAAATGCAAATCAATAGTGTCAAACATTAAATAAAAGTGATTTTTTTAAATTTCGCAAACAATCCATATAAATGATCACTTCCTTTAAATGTCAAAAGAGCTTATACATAATTAACGCTTCATTGGTAATTAAATTAGACTTTTGCCGGATACGCCATCTACAGGCCAAGATGAGTGGCCACAAAGTGTGGCTATTAATTTTCAGGACTGGTCAAATAGCTCTTGAAAAAATGCGAATCACGGACCCGGTTAATACGTAACGAAGTTAATTTCTATTGTACTCAACTATCTTTTAAATCATCATTTTAAATTCTCTTGAATTCTGATCTTATTAATGTCTTTGACATGCTTAATCTTGTCATAGTCCATTTATTTTTCTTTCAAATTTCTTCCACAGTCTTTCATGTATTATTAGCAACTCAAACTTACATTTAAGAAGCTAAACAAATCAAACATTTATCATTTTGCCGAATTATATGTTTTTGTACGAATTTTACGTTTATAGCACTCTCACATTCCACCTACTATTTATGTTACAATATTCGATAGTTACTGGCACAAAATGTAATATATATATATATGTACACAAAATAAGAAAGTGTTATTACAATAAAAACAATGTTTTACTCACTTTTGCAGTAGAAGCGTTGATCAATACAAATGTTACATCAAAGCAGGCGTCATGGAACAAATCTCACGGAAGTTTGAAAACTTTCAAAACAAATGTGCTAATTCTGTTCAATCAATGGCACAATAGATGGCAGCACAACCTGAAGCGGGAATTATTGTTCCAATCGTTATAATAGCAAGATCTGTAAATTACAACGGGTTTCGCGCTTCCCACAGGTGTATTTTCTAAAATCCTGTAGTTGGGAAGTATTCTACCCAAGCCCAATCTTTCTAATTTTAAACCTTGTTAATTTGTTTTAACAGAGGAGTTAGTCTGTTAATTATAAATTATGCTTTTTTTAGAAGACTAAACGTTGAACTTTTTTCGTTCTCTCAGAACGAATACGTTGTTTTCGTTGTTGGAATCAGAATGAACAAATCACAATAAAAATGTAACAAATATTTACCATCTGCCTAGCGTCGAAGCCAAACGCGTGATAAACACTATCAAATGACGTATATTTTTTTAATTATATATATAGCACAATAAATAAATACAAAAAGAGAAAAACGAAGAAAATACGTTTTATGGTTTTTCCTTTATTTTTTATTTTCTGTTTTAATGGGATATTTATTACTTAATGTGTTCCATTTAGTTTAAAAAAAATTTTTTTTTTTTTGAGTGCTCCTGAAACTATTGTATTGATGTATTTTGCTTTGGATATATTGATACAACATTTTCCAGAATTTTATTAATATTTATTTTCGGATTTTTATTAATTATTTTATTTTTTATTTTTAATTATTTTTTTCTTCTCTTTTTTCATTATTCTGTAATTTTTTCCATGTTTTCTCCACATTCTGAACTTAGATATTAGTACAATGTCGTATACCTACTTGTATTATATTTGAATAATTTTTTTGCCGTTTAAAATGATTTAAATTTGTGCTGCTATCAGGAATGAATCATTCTAGCTAGTCGGAAAGTGTTCCAAATTTTAACAACAAGATTTTATTGTTAGAGACACAAAATCTAGCAATTAAAAACGTTATAAAAATGCTCTGTAGCATTTGGGTACCTGGAGTGTACTATTTAAGGACTGGTTGAATGCGATAAAAATGCCCTAAATGCGACAGTACTTTTTATCGTGATCCATTTTATTGGGTGCTTTTTTTTGCGACAGTGCATAATCTTTGCTTAGGTTACAGATAATAATTCAATTTCAATTTGTTTAGAAGTGAAGGCTCAACATTTTGGCTATTTTCGGTGAACATGTCCAATAAAATGTCAAATTTGACTTAATTCTGAGAAACTCATCTGAAGTCGTTTCGCATTTAGTAACACTGCCCTGATATGTATTTTCGCATCAGTAGATTTATTCGATTTTTTAACAAATTGATTGAAAATATTCTTAATGAACACATTTTAAATATGTCATTATTATAAACTAAATATTCGTAACTTTATGTTCGAAGTAAGCTAACTACAGTTTTATTTTAAGGACAAAGTCTATATTTTAATCGAATAATAAGTCATAACACCTGAGTTTAATTTTAAAAAAGTTTGTAATTTCACTTATAATTATATCCCTTTTATTAATTAGGATCTAAATTTAGGTTTGTGACATGTCAGTTACAAAAGGTATAAGGTATTTGTAATCATTAATCAGTTTATAACTCATACTGAAAAAAATTGTGCTTGATCTCTAGCGATTAGTGCATTGCAATGTACTAACCATTCTAAATCAGTTATATCATTTTTTACTCGGTAAAGTGATTAATTTCGCTATTTCCGATAAAAGTTGATCAGAAAACTTTTTATATACTTGGTAAATAAAACCCAAACGATATTGACAATAAGACATAAAATTTTTTTTGTTTAAAATATATATCATTATTCAGCTTTGTCTGATTCTGTAAAATAACTAAAAGAAGGTGAAAATTGGAAAAGTAAGTAATTAAAGTTAAATTTATAATTTAACTTTAATTACTTACTTTTCCAATTATACGATGATGAATTTTACCAAAATTATACGATGATGAAAGCAAAATGCGAATTATCAAATTTATAAAATTCTATAGAAGATATGGTAAAAACTACTAGAATATGGTAAAATTTACTGAGTTAGTGTCACCAAAAAGTTAGGTGATTTTTATTGGAGTGCTTTGGTAATTGCGTTTGGTAAAATTAGCAATTACTTAAGTTTTTTTTATGACCATGCTGTTTCGTGTAAATGGGGTAAAATTTGTTAATTAAAAGATAACGATAGATACTCCACTGGCATAAGATTAATAGTGACCGACCGGGGCTCCAAGAGAAGTTTTCGGAAAAGGGTTTCACCAGTTGCCACGTGGGAACCAAACACTACAAAATTGCAGTAAAGCAAAATTTAAGCTAATAAAGATTGATACACATTAGAAAATATCAGAATATCGATTATGTGTAAATTTAAAACTATAAATCAAGTATTTTAAACCATGTAGGAAAGTAAAAAATAACAAGTAGATAAATGAACGCAAAATGTGCCCGTGCAAGAACAGATAGTTCAGAATAGCCAATGAGATTTATAAAATGTATAATCAATCATAATAATTCCAAAAGGGACTTATAGTTAAAGCCAACATAAAATTTCGGAGTGAGGCATCAAAGTGTATGGCTATCACAAAAGAGATCACCAATGACCAAAAGTTCTCCATGGAAGGGAAAGGCCCTGGAACAGCAACCAATCTAAGTGCCTTGCTTAAAATAAAAGATCAAAGGGATATTAAAGAGAACCAGAATTCTTAAAAACAAGTCAAAAGCGCTTAAAACATCTGAAAAAGTAAAATTAACGAAAAATAAAAGTGACAAAAATACAGTTAAAAAACGTTTTTTGAGTGAAGTCTGATAAAACATCAAATAGTGAAAACAGGAAAAATCCCATCAAAAACATATAAGATCTAAAATAAAATTAACTAAATAATTGAAATAGTAGACTAATAGTTCAAAAGTTTTAGTATCCACTTTTCAAGACAAACTGCCTCTAGGATTAAAAATATTCTGATGTATACCAAAGTTTCTCTTAAAAGGATAAAAATTCAAAAATGACACTAGGTAAGACTGAGGGTGGTGAAGTTCAATAAGATCCAGAATATCCATTCGAATGTCCTATGTATGATGAGGATTTTCAGTCCAAGAGGAGGACAAAGTCACCAGAGTACGGTTAAAACAAGGTAAAGTACTAAAAAGCAAATATTAAAACCAGGAAATCTAAAGGCCAAAAGTTTAAAACTAGATTAAATTAGTCAGGTGTACTCTCAAGGACAAGCAGATCTTCTAAGCTATACTTAGGAATTTCAATGATTTTTCTCCTATATTATTTTTCTTCCTTTTTCCCTAAAGCATGGCATTAAACCAATTATTCAGTTTCAAAAAAATTTCAGTTTTGTTTTTTATATAATTTTAAGAACTATCATTTTGAAAATCAAAATTTCTGGTAAGCCGTTACCATACGAACAGATAAACTACCAAATGAATTTTTAATTATTGTATATTTTGGTTTTATTATAGAATTTGTTTTTTTTTATCACACTAGAAGGCTGAACCTGAGATTTTTCGACTCGCCAACTATCGCAATTATTTTTTAAACTTTTTCTCTTTAAACGTAAATATTTTTCATAAAAAGGAAAAATATTTTGTTTTCAAATTATACAAATATTGAAACTTCATTTGTCAGGTGTTGTGTTCATTTGTGAAGTTCATTGTGTTAGTGGTGACGAAATAAGCGATTACCTGGATGACTTGGGAAAGAAAGCTTAACCTAAAGAATTCACATTCCGTGACTGAATACGTAGAAATAAACAAGTTATTTTGCACGTTGACGTCATTCGAATAGCTATAATAGCAATTCCAATAAAAACGGTTTTTATCGCTCCCTATTAAGGATTTTTTTTTATTTTGAAAACTTTATACACTATAAATGTTAAGATTTATATCCAACAACATGTAATCTCTCTCAAACTTCTACTTTTGTTTAACATGTGCTCGAGTGTGAGTTTATAAGTCTTCTTTAACAATGGAAAACTAGTTTATATCTAAATAAATTAAAGCTGAGAAGTTCACGAAAAATCACATAAATTAGCAATAACTTTCGAACATTTGAAATTTTTTGTAAGTAAAAATTCAAAATAAAGGGCTTTTTTAGCTTGTCGAATTTTAAATCCGAAGTTGTATACTTCAACAAATTGCAGATCGGTCGAACATGGTATTTTTCCCCTACAAGTTTCACAGTTAATTATTTTTTCTTAACTATTATATAAATAATATATATATTATTATATAAATAATATTTTTTTATATTTCGCAGTATTTTCTGTACTGTTTTTAACACACCTTTGTAATTTCAAGTTTTTTCACAGCAAAGCAAAATATAATGTTAAGTTCAACTTCCAAAACAGCTGCTGCCGTTGCGATTTTTTATTATAGAATAGATAGACGCATCATTACCATAGGGTAATAGCTGTTCATCAGTAGTGTAAAAATGTAGAACAAACGAACAGGTAGGGAGGAGAGGGAGTGCAAACCCTTTTCAAGAACTTCTGCTACTATGCTCCTAAATGTTGTTTTTTCCTTTATGCACAGGGACCGCGCCAAACCTTTGGAGATTGGCTTACATTATGTCTCAGGAAGCTAGCCTTCTTCCCCTATTTATATTCTTCAGTAGAACGTTTGGCTCGTGCTTATGAAAATATGAGTTCGAATGCCATCGTACGAAGAATCCCCGTGTATTAAATGGTGACTGGTACACCTTAAATCTGTCGAGGTCACAAAATCCTCTAAGTTCCCTGAAAATCAATAGCTCTGGAATTCTCTGGTTCAGTTTACGATGTGTGGATGAATGAATTAACTTTGATTGGGTCATCCGTGTAAAAAGGGCTAAGACATGCGTGCAACTGATGTCGTATTCTTGAAAATAGATAGCTCCACTGAACCAGAAATACACTTTGCCTTAAAATTAACTTGATTTCAAGAAGGTTTCCTGGTATTGTCAAGTGGCATGAATTACAAAAAGAACGACAAATTTACCAGAATTTCTTTTCCAGTATGGGAATGCAGTAGTGATTTTTATACTTTGATTCATTACATTTAATTTATTTTTGGTAACTTATTCGCCACTTAAAATTTAAATTTTTAAAAATGGAGACGTAAACTTTAGAACTTATATTATCAATACAAGAATAGAAATTTTGGGGAGTGTTGAACCATAATATCATGCAAATTCGTTGCAATCTCAATATGAACTTTAGTTCGACAGTATAAACTCACAGATTAAACTTGATTATATTTTACTGTGCTTCATATTGAGCAAAATCATGGTTGACTTAAGATCCTGTAAAAGTTGCAACAAATTTTCAATGTAAAGTAGCTTCAAAGTACCTATATCGAAGTTTAGCATTGAATAAGATTTT